TCGAGCAGCTGTATTGTCTCTAGTTAAAAAGGCATTTACAGGCCTCAGAATTTGCTCCTCCATCCACTCTCGAGCTCTCTTTCAGACTTACTCACGTGACTGCCAGCACTGTTGTCTAAGTGTGGGACTTGCAACTTTGTGTTCCCAGTGCTGACCCAGAGGGGGAAAGCCCATACGTAAAGACAGAATTCCCGGAGTCAAGCCTGCAGCACCACCCTCGTGAATGCTAGCAACCCACAGTGGACGCCCGCCTGATCAATGGAGCATGCGGTCAGACCCTTGTCAATAAATGGATACTCTTATACAGAAGTAGTCTCTACGCCAGAAGGAAGCCAAGTTTCTTCCCCCTAAAGAGTGATTTGCTTTGAGCGACTCAGTCACCCCTTTGTGAAAAGAGAGAGTTTTCCTAGTTCAGCTCAAGGCTAACTAGCGGTCCCTGGAGAAACACTGCCAGTGAATCAGCAGAAAGTTCTCCATTTCCCCTCGACTCAGAGCACCAGGACTGGTTGGCCCTGAGTCAGTGGAGCACTGATTGGATCTACAGAGCCAGTCAGCTGTTCTTTGCTGTTCGTGCCGGGAGATATAAATCCATCTGGATCCAACTGGATAAGTAAACCCAATATTCTATATTGTATCTTGAGAATTCAATTGTTATCTCAACACAGGTTGATATCAATTTAATTTGTATGAGTAATGTATTTACTTATGAGTATCGTATGTAGACTCTGTATTAATCAGACTGATTAACGATAAAGTATATCCGAATGATATACTGAAGCATATTCCTTGTTTGAATCTCTTCGTGTTTTGTATCTTTTGTGATAAATTCTATATTTTGGTAACCCTCACAGTAAGATCTGCAATCTGTATCCAGGCAGACTGATACTGTATATTTTTATATGCACAGTTTTATGTATTAATAAATGTATTCCATGTATTTGAATCCGTGTGTGTGCATTGCTGATTGTTCTGATGATTGATCCTCTAAAAGCAATAAAAGAATCCCCTTGTGATTTACTGCCACAATAAATAAATTGTACCAGTAAGTTCACAAAACCCCTACACAGGTATGGGACAAAAGTCTAGAAATACTTTTTCTTTTGTAGAAAGAAAAGACCACAATTATCAAAGTATTTCATATTCATAACTGATAAAAAAAAACAAATTTTAAAAGTATTCTAAATACATATTTAGCCCTTTATTTTGAACAGCAGGATAGATGTTGAAATAATGATAGCAAGGCAACTCATATTCGACCTTTGTGCATCTAGAGTGGACGCAGGTCACAGACTATTAATCAAACATGACAGCACCAGTTAATTGTAGACACAACATCCAGAAACCAATAACAGAAGTGGAAATAATAGAAGTGATGTAATAAAATACATGTACACACTAGTGCATGAAACATGAGAAACTGTCATGGGAAAGAGAGGGGTGGCACTGTAGGAGGCTTTGGTTCTAGTTGTTTCAGCTTGTACTGGACATTCACGATTGGCAGTAATCCCCACCGTTATGGTAGGAGGGTTCAGTGCACTGGTAACACAGTTCAAGTGAATTAAGTCATCTGACATCACTTTTTATACCATTATTGAATTTTGCCTTTACAATTTATTTTCAGAGTAGTTGATATACACCATGTTCATTACATGTGTAGGGAAAACCGGTTCAGGGACGCCAAATATGTAATCATAGTGGCTCTCTGAAGGCACCAGTTCTGTAGGGTTTGGGCATTTACTGAGACAATTAATTGTAGCAGTAAATCACAAAGTTGATTCTTTTGATGGCTT